TTGTGTCACCACAACCTCTGCCTCTTGGGTTCAGGCGATTTTCCTGCCTCAGCCTCCCAACTAGCTGGGATTATAGGTGCGTGTCTTCATGCCTGGCTAATTTTTGTATTTTTAGTAGAGATGGCGGTTCACTGTGTTGGCCAGGGTGGTCTCAAACTCCTGATTTTGTGGTCTGACAGCCTCGGCCACCCAAAGTGCCTGGCCTTCATGGGGCCTTTTTTTAAGCATCAGTAGTCAGTATTGGATGTGAATTTCCTGCTGTGTGGTAGTAGGTGCCTGTCTGTGTGAACCCACTGTGGTGTCACCTGTGCACCCGTTGTGGTGTCACCTGTGTACTCGCTGTGGTGTCACCTGTTTAATGAGTTGGAACAAAAGGTGGCATTTTACACTTTTCTGCGTTTCCTGTTGTAACTGTTCCTGTTTGCCTGAACTCTGTGCTGCTGTTGTGCATGAAGATGTCTGACCACTATTTTGTGGGAAGATTTCTTTGAGAGCGGTCCTGTCCAGCTGAGCTGTGGCTCCCAAGGCTCCACCTTGCTTCTGTTTGGTGGGAGCAGCCAGGCGGCTGATTTCCCTCTCACATTTGTTGTGGGATTTGTGTGCTGTGCCGTGGCCTCCCTGGCCAGGCCCCACTGACTCTGCCTCTGCCTCTGTCCCCAGGCCTGGGGACCTGCCGTTTGCCCCAACGAACGCTCGGACGAGGAGGTGGATGGCAAAGCGGAAGGAGCTGAGGCCAAACCTCCGAATAAGCCTTTTCTCCTTCAGCCTGAGACAGATGGACAGGCGGACACTGCAAGCCTCCCCTTCCCAGACCCTGCCGCACACCTCCCCCGACCTTGGGACTGTTGTGAACGTGCCTCCCACCCCCATCCCGTCTCCCTCCAGGCCCGAGGGTAGTTTACCTGCACAGTTGATTCAGCATGGTTAAAAATCTGCCACCTGCACAGATATTCTTGAAAGCAGAAAAAAGATTTTGTTTTTTCTTTAATAAATAAAATTCTGAGGCTTTCTCACTGCCTTTCTTTAGAAAAGAGTAGTTTGTCCTCACGGGTCTACACTGGTTGCCGAATTTACCTGTATTCCTAACAGTTTTCTATATGCTGCATTAAGCCTTGCGGCAAGAAGGCATTTTTTTAAAAAGGAAACAAACTCAAATCATGAAGCGATACGAAAGCTGCATATGCCTACAAGGCTCTGTATTCAGGGCACAGTTGCTGTCACAAAGGAGCGGGTGGAACTCCCGCCCTCCAACGTTTTATATAATAAAAGTCCCTGAGCATGTGTGGCAGCGGTCACCACTGCAGTAAGCTGGTCTACAGATGTTTTCCACCGAGCGCCACAGTAAACAGTGCCATGTGCTACCAGCTGTGTCTGTAGCATTTGTCTGCGGCAGGGGGTCCCCGGATGTGACTGGGCCTGGCTCCTGTGGCCTGTGCCAGCTCTGCATTGTGGGGGAGCCAGACTGGCTGTTGCGTAGGCTGGGCTAGCTGTGGGCAGTTGTGCAGAAAAGGTAAGGTGGAAAGGTGGGCTTGGCCAGATCTGAGGAGGCTGAGTATCTTAGAAACCTTGGTTTAAGGCTTGCGCAGTGGCTCACGCCTATAATCCCAGCACCTTGGGAGGCCTAGAAAGGTGGATCACCTGAGGTCAGGAGTTTGAGACCATCTTGGCCGACATGGTGAAACCCTGTCTCTATTAAAAATACAAAAATTAGCTGGGTGTGGTGTGTGCCTGTAATCCCAGCTACTCAGGAGGCTGAGGCAGGAGAATCAGTCTAACCAGCGAGTTGGAGGTTGCAGTGAACCAAGATCATGCCACTGTACTCCAGCCTGGCAACAGAGCCAGACTCCGTCTAAAAAAAAAACTGGACGTGGTGGTGGCAGGTGCCTGTCATCCCAGGTACTGGGAGGCTGAGGCAGGAGAATTGCAGTGAGCCAAGATTGTGCCATTAAACTCCAGCCTGAGCAATGAGAGCAAAACTCCATCTGGGATAAAAAGAAACCCTGGTTCATTTCAGTTCTGAGCACCTACTAAGTGCAGCACGCTAAGCTTCGTTAGGGATAGAGGCACAAAATGGGCCCAGACCCTTACATGCGGGATCTTTCCCACTCTGAAGAACACACCTGCTCTATGGAGGTGCAGCCCGGTGCTGCGGATGCCCAGTGGGAATTGGAAGCTCTTCATAGGACTGACAAAGCTTTTGTTCATCCTTTCAATGAAGCCTGAGCGTAAACCAGCCCCTTGCTAGGTGCGGGGAGTAGGAGGGCAGTGAAGGCAGATGCCCCTGTGATTGGTTGCAGGGAAGAGGCTTTCCTTGGAGAAGGCTGTGGCATTCTCTGGAATGTGTGCATTTGGCTGGTAGGGTTGCTAGGGAAACCTCGTGCTGCTACACAGGACACCGTTCAGGCCTCCGACAAACCTGTGCAGCCTCTGAGCAGGTGCCCTTTCAGCCCCTGGGCAGGGAGGAGGAAATGACAGGAGAGCTGCTGAGACCGGGCACTGGAGAGCTTTGTGTGCTTCTCTTTCCCTTCAATAACATTGGAGTTTCAGGCTACAGAGTCGGTCCACACTTGTTATACACCACACACTTCTAGGTCAGGTTCCAGCTCCACCACTTCCTGTCACACTGGGCAAGGGGCTTTGCCTCTGTGCTTATTTCTCACTATGGCTCACGTTTCAGGGGTCGGCTTTGGTGGCCTGAGGTTCGAATGCCCTTCTGCTTTCTCCTGGGCACAAGGGTAGTTCATCTGCACTATTGACACAGAATAGTTTAAAAATCTGACGGGGCACAGTGGCTCAGGCCTGTAATCCCAGCACTTTGGGAAGCTGAGGCAGGTGGATAATCTGAGATCAAAAGTTTATGACTAGCCTGGTGGCCAACATGGTTAAACCCCTTCTCTGCTAGAAATGTAAATTAGCCAGGCGTGGCAGATGCCTGTAATTCCAGCTACTCAGGAGGCTGAGGCAAGAGAATTGCTTGAGCCCAGGATGGGGAGGTGTCAGTGAACATTGCACTCCAGCCTGGGTGACAAGTGAAACTTAAATGAATGAATGAATGAATAACTGCCACCCAGAGATATTTTTAAAAGAAAAAAATATTATTCTCCCCCTTTCTTGTAGTAAATGATAACATTCCAAGGCTTTCTCACTGCCTTTCCTTTCAAACCATGTTTAGAAGAGCGCAGTGTGACAAGCTCAAAGCAAATATTTGTTATCACCTAATTTGTCAGTGGGATTTAGGTGCTATCTGCTCATTGTCTCCACTGAGTGAGACACCCTGTTGGAGGGAGAATGGCCTTGGTGGAAGCACCTTTCAGTTAACTTCCATCTCCAGATAACTCAAGCAGACAGCATGAAATGCTATTTTTTGGCCAGGCGAGGTGGCTCACACCTGTAATTCCAGCACTTTGGGAGGCCAAGGCGGGGATCACCTTAGGTTGGGAGATTGAGACTACCCCAACTGACATGGCAAAACCCCATCTCTACTAAAAATACAAAATTAGCTGGGCGTGGTGGCGCGTGCCTGTAATCCCAGCTACTCAGGAGGCTGAGGCAGGAGAATTGCCTGAACCCAGGAGGCGGAGGTTGCGGTGAGCCGAGATCGCGCCATTGCACTCCAGCCTGGGCAACAAGAGCAAAACTCCGTCTCAAAAAAAAAATGATAAGTTTATATCTTCCCAGTGAATGGACCTTTTTATAGCAGCACTGTCTCTAAATATCACCGTTCCTCCTCAAGCCGAGTTAGTCTGCTCATGGTATAGAGCCCCAGGCTCACTCTGGCTGGTACTTTCCTGTCATCTCCCTTCTCATCATTCTCAACCTTTACGCCTCTTGTAAGCTCCACACGCGGGCTGACTCCGACCTCACTTTACCTTCTAAGCTCTATGTCATGAACAAGGTCCTATCTTTTTTTTTTGAGACCGAGTCTTGCTCTGTCACCAAGCTGAAGTGCAGTGGTGTGGTCTCAGCTCACTGCAACCTCTGCTGCCCGGGTTCAAGCAATTCCCCTGCTTCAGCCTCCTCAGTAGCTGGGACTACAGGTACATGCCACCATGCCAGGCTAATTTTTTTGTATTTTGGTAGAGACAGGATGATCTTGATCTCCTGACCTTGTGATCCACCCACCTTGGACTCCCAAAGTGCTGGGATCACAGGTGTGAGCCCGAGGTCCTATCTTGAGCTCACTGGCAGGGTGAAGTCACAAGGCTATCAGGACTAGAACCCTCAGTACAGGGACACAGATTTCCCAGCCATGGCCACCGGTGCCTCACTGGGCTCCACGCCAGCAGCCGGACTGTGCCAGCCAGAGTTCTCAGCTCTCCTCACCGGATGCTGCCACCCCCTGGGTGTGCTCTGGTCTCTGCACCTCCCTAGCCTGCTGCCTGGAGGACCTCTCTCCAGCTTTCCATCTCAGCCATCTCAGCCACTTTCCAGGGCAGCCTCTGCTGTCACCCAAGCTGGGGAACACCCCTCAGGGATGCTTAGCTGTGGGATCACCAGCTCCAGGAAGGTGGGGACCCAGACTGCTGGTTCCATTCCCCGCTATGTTCCCAGCCCCAGGCACACAGTAGGTGCTCATTCATTGTACAACTACTGACAGTGTGAATGGTGACTGAGGTAAAGGGTTAGATGCACCCAAAGTCACTGTGAATTCAGCAGCTAAAGATCCAATGTGGGTCAGCTCTCCCCATACATAATTTCAGAAAAGGGCCCCGGCCGGGCATGGTGGCTCACACCTGTAATCCCAGCACTTTGAGAGGGCAGGTGGATCACCTGAGGTCAGGAGTTTGAGGTCATCCTGGCCAACATGGTGAAACCATGTCTCTATGAAAAATACAGAAATTAACCAGGCATGGTGGTGCATGGCTGTAATCCCAGCTACTAGGGAGGCTGAGGCAGGAGAATCGCTTGAAACTGGCAGGCAGAGGTTGCAGGGAGCCGAGATCATGCCACTACACTCCAGCCTGGGTGAGAGAGAGAGACTCCATCTCAAAAGAAAAAAAGAAAGGCCCCCCATCTCCCAATAAAGAGGGTGATGAAGTGCTTGGACCTGCTGGTAAATACCACGCCGCTACCCACAGCCTGTGACCTGGCAGGTTCCTCTTGGCCATCTGTGAATCAGAGGTGGTGGCGGCGAGGACACCAGCCAGGGTGCTTGCATGGGACTGCTAAGGCAGGTGGATCACCTGAGGTCAGGAGTTTGAGACCAGCCTGGCCAACATGGTGAAACCCTGTCTCCACTAAAAATACAAGTTAGCTGGGTGTGGTGGCGGGCCTGTAATCCAAGCTACCCAAGAGGCTGAGGCAGGAGAATCCCTCGAGCCCAGGAAGCAGAGAGCTTGCATTGAACCAAGATGGTGCCACTACACTCCAGTCTGGGCAACAGAAGGAGGCTCCATCTCAAAAAAAAAAAACTAAAAACCCCACAGGCAATTCCTGCGTATGCAGAAGGTAAACGTGTCTCCTCCACAGGTGCATGCAATACCTCTTGGACTTCCTCGTAATTCTATCATGGCCTTACGCTTTTGGCTGAAAGACTTACCCTCACTTTACAAAGAAAAGGAGTACTTGTGGTAATACGACATGAATGTAATTTTCTTTGTTCAGCAAAACCTTTTACTGAGCACTTATTAAGCGGCAGACATTCTCACAGACCCACGAGAGCACGTTCCACATCATCCTTAGATCGCAGCTCTGAGGAGAGTGTGGATGTGACCCTCATCTTCCTTCCAGGTGAGAAAAGCAATGCTTAAAGGAGCTAAACAGGCTGGGTGCAATGGCTCACGCTTGTAATCCCAGCACTTTGGGAGGTCAAGGCTGGCGGATCACCTGAGGTCAGGACTTCGAGACCAGCCTGACCAACGTGGAGAAACCCTGTCTCTACTAAAAATACAAAATTAGCCAGATGTGGTGGTGCACGCTTAAGATCCCAGCTACGTGGGAGGCTGAGGCAGGAGAATGGCTTGAACCTGGGAGGGGGAAGTTGCAGTGAGTTGAGATCACTCCACTGCGCTCCAGCCTGGGCAACAAGAGTAAAACTCCATCACATAAAAAGAAGAAAAGCTAAACAACTCGCTGAGCATGGGTGGAGCTTCAGGTTTCAGTTATGTGGACTGGCAGGCTTGATGCTTCAATTGCCATGGCAACGGGCATCTGTACCCTCCTCACCCATCCTGTTGTTCCTGCTTCACCCTTACTATGACGTGTTCTATCATTACCACCAGCACACAGATGTCCTATGCCCCCTCCACATGTCTCTATCATAGCTCGTTAGATGAACTTACTTTTCAAATTTCCAGATCTCTTACTATACTTTTTTTTTTTTTTTTTAAGACAGGGTCTGGCTGTTGCCCAGGCTGGAGTGCAGAGGCACGATCTCAGCTCACTGCAGCCTCTGCCTCCTGGGCTCAAGCCATCCTCCTACCTTAGCCTGCCAAGTAGCTGGGACTATAGGCACGCATCACCATGCCCGGCTAGATTCTGTATTTTTGGTTGAGCCAGTGTTTTACTATGTTTCCCAGGCTAGTCTTAAACTTGTGAGATCTAGTGATCTGCCTGCCTCAGCCCCCCAAAGTGCTGGGATTACAGCTTGGAGCCACCACACCCAACCTTATTATGCATTTCTTATGGGCACTGAACATGTCTTTATAAAAAAGGCTGGGCATGGTGGCTCACACCTGTAATCCCAGCACTTTCAGAGGCCTAGGCAGGTGGATCACCTGAGGTCAGGAGTTCGGGACCTGCCTGGCCAACATGGTGAAACCCATCTCTACAAAAATACAACAATTAGCCGGGTATGGTGGTGGGGGCCTGTAATCCCAGCTACTTTGGAGGCTGAGGCAGGAGAATCACTTGAATCCAGGAGACAGAGGTTGCAGTGACCTGAGGTTGTGCCACTGCACTCCAGCCTTAGCGACAAGAACAAAACTCTGTCTCAAGAAAAAAAAAAAGAAAAGAAAAATTGTGCTAAAATACACAAGGCATAAAACGTGCCCTCTTGGGCGCTTTGAAGTGTGCAGCCCGGCAGCATGTGCTCATGTTGCTGTGTTTTCTGTGCTTTTACAAACCAGGACACCTGTCCAGGCCCCAGGCCCCTGGGGCGTTTCTGCATTTACAAGCTCTGGTTCTCTGGTATCTTCTGGAAGGGGTTGTTTACCATATGGGACTGAGCCAGGAAGCCAAGATCAGGCTGGGCCGGGGAGGCCGAGCGCTCATGGCCCTGGGCCTGGAACTTCCCCTCCTGTGGCTCCTTCAATACTCTGGGCCCTGGGTGTCCCTGGGGCCTGCAGCAATACCCCAGGCTCCCTCCACTGGCTCTGGGACTGTTGAGAATCTGGCTTTGGGGCACCCGGACCATGGGAGCCTCAGACTCCCACTCCAGCCTTTCTTCTGCCTCAATTTCAGCTTCCTTGGTCCGCATGTCGCCTGGCATCCTGGCCATGAGAACACCTCCAACCCCGCCCTTATATGAACCAAGTCCACTAACCACTGACACCGTCTCCAGGCTGGGTCCTGCTGGGGAGTGCCTTCTGCCTGTGAGATGGGGGCACAGGCAGGGCAGCTTCTCATGCACAGTGCACAGAAAGCCACAGCCCCCCTCCAGCCCTGCCTCAGGACTGACTCACCCTTCCAAGAATGTGACAGAAACCAGGGCCACTTCACCTCAGAAAACCCTTGGGAAGGATGGTGGTCTGGGCACCTGAGCCACAGCACGGCCCTGGGGAGGGGCCAGGGGAGGCCACCCAGGCCTCTGGTTCTGCCTCCTAGACACCGAGTCCCCCACAGGCCGTGCCCAGGCTGGCTCCCACCTCCTTCCTGTCTGGGTAATGGGAGGCCAGGACAGCACCCAGGCCACTCCCCAATTCATCTGCAGGCCCACAATAGCCGGCTCACATTCCCAGGCCACTTAAAATGCCAGAGGCTAAACATTAGCTGCCCAGCCTTTTGTCCTGCAGCCCTGCGTGTGGCCCCGAGGGAGCACACCCACTGTGCCCGGCAGCTGTCACCTCCCTTGCAATTAAAGTGACTGGACAGCGGCACCTTCCAGCATACCCGCTTTGAAGCGAGGGGCAGATTGGGGAGCTCCTCTGAGAGCTTTGGGTCTGTCATCCCAGGGTATAAAGCATAAGCAGGGCTCTGAAAACCCTTGTCACAGGGCTTTGTTATGGAAATCCTCATGGACTCTGGCCAGTCCCAGAATGGTTTTTAACTGGTTGATGTGCTTTGTTCAAAGCACTTGCAGTGGAAGATTTCATTTGAGGAGGGGGCAGACCCAGGGGTAGGCCTGGTGGGCACAGCGGCCACAGGCGGATGCCCACCTCATGCCTGGAGATGTCCATGAGCACTGTGAAGCTGGCTGTGTGGCTGCACTGGCATGTGACATGCATCCGGTTTCTGGACAGAAGCTTGCATCCCCGGGCAGACCACCCTCCCGTCCCACTGATGCTGCAGATAGAAGAGAAAAGGGGTGGGGGTGAGATGGTTCCCTCCACCCATGAGCCTGTTGGGGGAAGCCTCTGCCCAACCCTAGGGGCTCACGGGCCACGCTGACCAAACCAAACAGCAGGTACTGTGCATGATGAAAGCCCCGTGTCCTCACAGGCTGCTCACCACCATGTTCCTCGCCAGCCCCTGCACCGAAAGTAAGACACCTGTGGCCAGGTGTGGTGGCTCATGTCTGTAATCCCAGCACTTTGGGAGGTCAAGGTGGGTGGATCATGAGGGAAGGAGTTCGAGACCAATCTGGCCAACATAGTGAAAGCCCATCTCTACTAAAAATACAAAAAATCAGCTGGGTATGGTAGTGTGCACCGGTAATCCCAGCTACTCGGGAGGCTGAGGCAGCAGAATCATGAACACAGGAGGCAGAGGTTGCAGTGAGCTGAGATCACACCATTGCACTCCAGTCCGGGTGGCAGTGCAAGACTGTGTCTCAAAAAGAAAAATAAATAAATAAAAGCCACCCAATGAAGGCAGGACCATGGGAAATCTCCCTTCCCTCCTGTGTCTTGTCAGGGCCTCCAAGGAGCAGCCTCTGAAGTTCAAGTTCTACGTGTCCTCTGGCAGCAGAACTCAAACGGGGCCGTCTCGTGTCCACCACACGCCCTGCTGCTGGAACCGCCCACTGGGGTTCACAGAGCTGCAATGCACTCCTGTCTCCTTCTGAGGACAGACGCTTTCACGAGAACATCTTGCCTTCCTCTGACACTTGCATCTTCAGATTGAACAATGCTTTATGGGAGCTGCCCAGAAGCCAGGGCCCCATGGGAACTTCTGCTTTCCTGATGGGAAGCCCCAGATAGCAAGTTGTTATGAGGTGTGTCTCAGCTTCAGACAGGGCCCTGCCCTCCCAGACCCTGGGAAAATCACACCACCTCTCAGATCCTTAGTTTGCTCGCCTGTAAAATGGGACGTGAACACTAATATGTCTGCCATGAACTTTACAATCTGGGAATAACAGGTACAGCATAAAGCAGAGAGCAGGGCATCAGAGCCAGAGCTAACTGCCAGGGTGCAGCTGAAGGCCCGGGACAGACAGCTGGCCCGACGTCCCTCATGGTGAAAGGGGCTCCTTTGGTCTCCCCTTTATAAGCCAAGCGCCTATTGCATTCCAGGTGCTGTGCTGGTTGCTCACTAACTAGGACTTGGAAGGCACAGAAGCAGGAGAAGGCTGGGCTGAACAGGCTCCTGGCATGAGCTCGCTCACCACGGCGTGGCCCCCCCACAGCCGCCACTCACGGCTCTCCACTCTGCCCAGAAGAACGGTGGTGGGGGGAGGGGGGAGTGTTCCCGCTGCACGGACGCCCCCAGATACACAACGTTCAGCCGATTTGAGCCTGGGGGTGCTCACGCTCTGACTCCCCAAGTCCTGCATGGTGTCTCCCCTTCCTGGCACTCCCTCCCAGTATGTGGAGACACATCGGGTCTCCCCACCAGCTTGTGCTCCCATCCTCCCACCACTCCCCAGTTCTAGTGTTTTCTTCTAAACAGAGACAGCAAAAGTGAAAATGAACCAGCAGAGTAGAAGCAAGCTCCTGGTAAAGACAGAGCAACTCAAAGAAGTCCAGGCCTCACATAAACCCTGCAGCTAAAAAGGCAAAGTGAAGCACAAACACCACCGGCTCCCAGGAGAGCTGAGCCACGCGAGTCTGAACCCACTCTCACGTGTGGGTGAGAATCAGTCATTCCGCTTTTTCTAACTACAGAACACCTTTCCCTCACTGGAACACACGCTGAAACACAGACTCGGGCGCACCACCTCCCACCTTCGCCACTCTGCTGGCTGGCTCTCTGATGCTGCTTCTGGTCTGTGATGTGGCCAGATGTGGCCACTTGGGGGTAAAGCCAGTCCTCAAAGCTGGGCTGTGTCGGCCTCTTGGGCAAGACTAGGATCAGGGGCCCTTGTCTGTTATGGGGACCACACACATAGCTGGGGGTTCCCACTGTCAGCAGAAGGGCTCCTGGGCCCAATCTCTGGGTCTGCCCTCCCGTGTGTGAACAGGTCTCTGTCTTATCCAGCAGTGAACTGGCCAATACACTAGTGTGGCTGCTGCATCTCGGGAGTCCTGCAGGTGAGGAGCCCCTTCCTGGGTGTCAGCCTTGAGGGATCTCTCTGTGCACCTCCATGTCTGCCTCTCCACATGTGGGTCTGCATGCACCTGTATGTGTGCATCTGTATCTGTGCATGTGCATCTGTGGGTGTGCATGTGCGTGTGCATCTGTGGGTATGCACCTGTGCGTGTGCATCTGTGGGTGTGCATGTGTGTGTGCACCTGTGTGTGTGCATGTGCGGGTGTGCATGTGCACCTGTGGGTGTGCATCTGTGTATGTGCACCTGTGGGTGTGCACCTGTGTGCGCATCTGTGTGTGCACCTGTGGGTGTGCATGTGTGTGTGGGCCTGCATGTGTGTGGGGGCCTGCATGTGTGTTTACATGTCTGCATCTCCATGTGTGGGTCTGTGTACGTCTGTGTGTGGGCATCTGTGGGGCTCTGATGCTCCCAGAGAAGCAGAGCAGGAGGCTGACTGCCCCACAAGGGGCTGGAAGGGGAGACACAGACCACAAGGGACCATCCTCGTGGGATGCTCTGCCACTGATCCCCCGACCCTGCGGTGCTCCCTGCCTTGGCAAAGCCCTCACATGGGGATGTGGGACTCCTGGTGCCGCACTTATGCCAGGGAGTGGTTCCAGAATACGCAGACGGGCTTGGTTCGCTCCTCTGTCTCCAGCAGGGCAAACTCCACCAGGACGGGCCTCTCCAGGGGTCTTGGGAGCGAAGCCCCCTCACTGTACACCAGCGTGCTCACCAGCGGGGTATTAATGATGGGCCGGTGAGGCAGCCTGAGGTCAAGAAGCCAGAGCATGTGGACAGACACGATTAGGAAACGTTCACTGAAATCCCATACAAACGCCCTGAGGACATGCCACGGATGTGTCTCCAGGGGACACAGAATCACACGCAGAGAGCTCGGAGCCGCAGGCCCCACAATGTCTTCATCCCCCTGCACAATGTGCAGGTTTTATCACTGACACAGCCCACAGGGAGATGTGTCATCTTCGGGTCAGAAATTCAAAAAGAAACAGAAGGCACAGGTGCGAAGACGTTACAGCCGAAACAGTTAACGGCAGACAAACAGGTGGTGGCTTAAATGTCCAAAGACAGCAGAATAATGGCAGCTCCCGGGGGTGAATCACCTGGTCACTGAGAACCACGTGATCACGAGGACCCCTGAGTCAGGGAAGTGTCTGGGAAACTGCAGGAGGAGGAAGGGCAGAGGCTCGGGCTGCTCCCACCGAGGGGGCCACAAACCTGCTTCCCAACATCCATCCTTTCCAGCCGGGATGGGCTGAGCAGCTCTAAAGCCCCGGGGCCAGCAGCAGGCACCACCCACGACAGCCTCGGTTAGGGTCTGTGGGGACAGCATGGGGTCCCTCGGGGCACAAGATGGGGCATATGCTGGGGAGGGGGCATTTCTGGCAGAAGCACTGGGATAAGCCCAGGCGAAGGATGTATGGTGCTCCAGGGGATAGCATCCAGTGGCAGACCCAGAACCTCCCTCCAAGGGACACCACAGGACAGTGGTCTCTGTCTCTGGGCCAGGGTCCCGGTGAAATGCTGCCGTAAAGACCTATGCTTAATCAAGATCAGAATTTTGACTTGTGGAAGCCTTGGGGACCTGTGAAACGGACCCTCCCCATGTCCCCATGCCCCCATGCTCAGGCCTTACTGAAGGCTTCGGCGGTCTGGGTCATAGTGCTCGGGCAGGAACTGCCCCAGGGTGCGGTAAATAATGACCAGAGCGACGGCGAACTGGCCAGCATCATCAGGGTGTCGCCTCTGCCTGCTGATCGGAGCCTCCCTCTCGGTGCCCGGCCCTGGGCGCGTGGTCTGCGGGGTGGTCCTCCGGCCGGCCGGCCTCCCCAGGGGGCCTTCTACAACGTGAGCAGAGCGTGAGAACTCTGGTGGGAACACCTGCATTCTCCAAGGCCGAGGTCAGGGCCAGCAGGCGTTTCTCACAAACCAACAGATGTTCCACTGAAAACAGTATGGCAGGTCCTCAAAAAATCAAAAATAGAATTTACCGCATGGCCCAGCAAGCCCAATTCTGGTTCTACATCCAAAAGATTGAACGCAGGGACCCAGATGCTTGCACACCCACGTTCACAACAGCACCATTCACACAGGCCAAAAGGTGGACACGACCCAGGCATCCGTCAACACATGAGAGGATAAACACACACGGTCCATCCACACAATGGAATATTACTCAGCCTTCAAAAGAAAGCAAAGTCTGACACTTACCACGACATGGGTGAACCTAGAGGACATTACGCTCAGTGAAATAAGCCAATCACAAAAGAACAAATAATTGCGTGATTCCACCTATAGGAGTTCCCTAGAGGAGTCCAATGCAGAGAAAGCAAGCATGGTGAGCACTAGGGCTGGGGAGGGGTGTTGGTGTTTTGCGGGCTAGAGTTTCAGATCTGCAGGATGAAGAGAGTTCTGAAGGTGGACTGCTTCAACATGAATGTATCTGATATAGTCTGGATGTCTGGCCCCTCCAAATCTCACACTGAAATGTGATCAGCATTAGACCTGCACATGGTCAGGGGGTCACAGGGGTGGATCCCCCATGAATGGCTTGGTACCTCCCATTGGTAATGAGCAAGTTCTCTATTAGTTCCAGAGAGAGCTGGCTGCAGCGGGGGGCTAGTCAGTTTCAAACCTCATCCTCTCAGTTTCAGGCACAGCCCCGTATCAGTCACCCCTCTTTTTATGACACGAGATATACCTGACAAAATCGCTTTAGTCACAAGGTTTCCGATTCTAAACGGTCCATTAAGGGGTTTACCTTTTCATGTCCTTTTTATTTTGGGACGTTTTTAGTGATTGTCATGGATCTGTGAAAAAGCACCTTAGGAAAATTCGAAAGGTTAATATCGTTTCGTATCACCTATCTCAACCCAGGACTGAGGATTTGTACATACACAGACGGCATTCTGGTTCGGGTTTTGTGGTTGTTTCTTTCAGGGAGGGGAAGGTGACTCTAAAATTTTTATTTCTATTTAAAGGCGGCCTTTCACCCCCCAACCCCCCACACAGGTTCTTTCTCTGTTGCACAGGCTGGGCTGTAGTGGCATGACCACAGCTCACTGCAGCCTCCATTTCCTGGGTTCAAGCAATCCTCCCGTCTCAGCCTCCTGAGTAGGTGGGATTACAGGTGGACACCACCATGCCCAGGTAATTAAAAAAAAAACTTTTTTGGTAGAAATGGGGTTTCCCTATGTTGCCCAGGTTGGTCTTGAATTTCTGGGCTCCAGCGATCCTCCCCATGTCAGCCTCCCAGTGTTGGGGTTACAGGTGTGAGCCATCGTACCCAGCTAGCAGCAGCTTTTCACTGCACACCGAAGACCAGTGTACACACAAATTTCAGTTGTTTTCTCGTTCACATTATCAGTCACGTGGCTGAGTATCCCTCAGCTGAAATGCTTAGGAACATGTTGGATTTTTGTTTTTGAGACAAAGTCTCACTCTATAGCCCAGGCTGGTGCATCTCAATGCTGCAACCTCCGCCTCCTGGGCTCAAGCGATTCTCATACCTCCACCTCCTGAGTAGCTGGGATTACAGGTGCCTGTCACCTCAGCTGGCTAGTTTTTGTATTTTTAGTAGAGTTTTTGTATTTTTACCATGTTGGCCAGGCTAGTCTCGAACTCCAGACCTCAGGTGATCTGCCCACCTCGGCCTCCCAAAGTGCTGGGATTACAGGCATGAGCCACTGTGCCCAGCCTGGATTTTTTTTTTAATATTCATACTGATGCTACAATGAGCACTTCCTTCCAGCGTCAGGTTGGTGCTCCAGAAGGTTCAGATTCTGAAGCAGTTCAGATCTCAGGATCTGGGTGCTCAACCTGTACCTGAGCGCTTGTTTGAAACAACCCGCAGCCACCAATGGGACCTGGCGCTGGCCAACACTCAGAACACCCCAGCCCTGGATCTTCAGTGCCCAGAACATGGTGTGTTCACCATCCTGGTATGCTGCAGGGGGTCCCCGCTCCCTGAACTCTGGGGGTGTCGAGGGCAGCAGCAGGTTTCTAAGAGCTTTTACCTTTTTCTTCGGGTGGTTTGAAGAAGTCAGCTGGGAAGGAGACAGAGGACTGCAGCTCCCTGGGGAACTCTTCCTGAATGGTGTCAAACCGTGGCACTGTGGCTCCCGTGAAGTTCAACTTGTCAAAGATGTCGACAGCAAGAACTGGGGGGATACTTCCTTTAATCAGACATAACCCCACAGCTGCCTTGAACCCTTGCTGTTTTCTTTTTTTTTTGAGATGGAGTTTCGCTCTTGTCACCCAGGCTGGAGTGCAATGGCGTGATCTCGGCTCACCGCAACCTCCGCCTCCTGGGTTCAGGCAATTCTCCTGCCTCAGCCTCCTGAGTAGCTGGGATTACAGGCACATGCCACCATGCCCAGCTAATTTCTTGTATTATTGGTAGAGACAGGGTCTCACCATGTTGACCAGAATGGTCTCGATCTCTTGACCTCGTGATCCACCCGCCTCAGCCTCCAAAAGTGCTGGGATTACAGGCATGAGCCACTGTGCCTGGTCGCTGTTTTCAAAATGACTACAACTGTCACACTAATTGGCTGGCCTTAGTTATTTATTTAATTTTTTAAAATTAGTATTTTTTTGAGATGGAGTTTCACGCTGTCTCCCCGGCTGGAGTGCAGCAGCGTGATCTTGGCTAACTGCAACCTCTGCCTCCCAGCTTCAGCCACTTCTCCTGTCTCAGCCTCCTGAGTACTAGGATTACACGTGTGCGACATCATGCCTGGCTGATTTTTTGTTTTTGGTAAAGATGGCATTTCGCCATGTTGGCCAGGCTGGTCGCAAACTCCTGACCTCAAGTGATCCACCTGCCTCAGCCTCCCAAAGTGCTGGGATTACAGGCACGAGCCACTGTGCCCAGCCTATTTATTTATATTTATTTTTTGAGACCCGGTCTCACTCTCTCACCCAGGATGAAGTGCAGTGGTGCAATCTCAGCTCACTGTAGCCTCAATCTCCTGGGCTCAAACAATCCTCCCACCTCAGCCTCCTGAGTAGCTGGGAATACAAGAGCATGCCACCACACCTGGCTAATTTATTTATTTTTTTAATAGAGAAGGGGTCTCACTACAGTGCCCAGGCTGGTCTCGAACTCCTGGGCTCAAGCAGTCTGCCCACCTTGGCCTCCCACACTGCTAAAATTACAGGCGCAAAGTACCATGCCTGGTTGACTGACCATCTTTAGAACAGAATGGATTTCCAGCTTCCTGCACACCACGTGTACCTACACCTGTCTGCAGTGAGCCTGGAGGGAGGCAGAACCCATGAAACCCACCCTTCTAGAGCCTCACTCCTGAGGGTCTGGAGGACCTGCCTGCTGGACACCCAAGATCATGGCCCAACATCTCCCAAGCCTGGGACCTGGCCCCTGGGAGCAATGGGTGAGTCACTGCAGACTGTCTTCCAAAGACTCCACTCACAGATGAGGAAACAGGCCTAGCTGCTGATTTTTTTTTTTTTTTTTTTTTTTTTTTTTTTTTTGAGACAGTTTCCTGTCACCCAGGCTGGAGTGCAGTTGCCCGATCTTGGCTCACCGCAACCTCTGCCTCCCAGGTTCACCGCAACCTCTGCCTCCCAGGTTCAAGTGATTCCCCTGCCTCAGCCTCCAGCGTAGCTAGGACTACAGGCGCGCACCACCATGCCTGGTTGCTTTTTCTATTTTTAGTAGAGACGTGGTTTCACCATGTTGGCCAGGCTAGGTTATAGGATTTACCACATGACCCAGCAAGCCCACTTCTGGCTCTACACCCAAAAGTCTAAAAGCAAGGACCCAGATATTTGCACACCCACATTCACAACAGCACCATTCACACAGGCCAAAAGGTGGACATGACCCAGGCATCCGTCAACGGATGAGCTGACTCCCGACTTCACATGATCTGCCTGTCTTTGGCCTCCCAGAATAGTGGAATTACAGGCGTGAGCCACCGTGCCCGGCCAATTTTTTTTAATGTATACTTTTTACTAGGTTTTTTTGTTTGTTTGTTTTTGGAGACAGAGTCTTGCTCTGTTGCCCAGGCTGAAGTGCAGTGGGGTGATCTCAGCTGACTGCGACTTTGCTTCCCAGGCTCCAGTGATCTTCCCACCTCAGCCTCCCATGTAGCTGGGACCACAGGTGCATGCCACCACACCTGGCTAATTTTTGTATTTTTTTGGTAGAGACAGGGTTTCACCATGTTGCCTGGCTGGTCTTGAACTTCTGGCCTCAAGTGATCCGCCTGCCTCTGAATCTCAAAGTGCTGGAATTACAGGCATGAGCCACCGCACCCAGATTATCACCTCATGTGCTGAGAGGGCCTAGACCACTCCCTGTGCCTCCAGTAAGGAAGAGGCTGAGTCTCTCTCCAGGAGGGGCCCACTTGTTATAAAATAAAGCTCAGCACTCCACGGAACCACAGGGAATCGGCTGGGGACACCAATGTCCAAACTGAGCCCCGTCCTGTGTTTCAGCCATGAGAGGAGTCCCTGTCACTGAAGGTCCCACCTGTCACAGACACAGCTGTAGTCCTCCCAGGCATTGTGGCAGCGGCTGTGGGGGGGACAGGGGCTTGAGGTACAAGGGTCCTCCACATCACAGCCGTCCTTCACCCTGACCTTGAGGGCGTTGTTCATGTTCAGGGTGGCCACATTGGTGGGCATCCCCCCATCCTCACTCCCTGAATCAAGGAAAGGGTGTTGGGATGGGAGAAGCCCAGAAAAGTGAGGAGGGGCTAAGGGAACTCAGAGGTCTCTCTGGTCACTTGCAATGCATTCATTGGTGACACCTCATTTAGCTATAGAGCTGGGACAGGCAGGGTTGTTCCTTTCACTCCTGGTAGCCAGAGTGCAGTGCAGAGCTGGGCAAGGAGCTCAGAGGGCATGCTGGCCAGATCTCCTGGGGTGTGCAGTTGGGGTGTGAGGAGTAGATGTCCCTGCTGAGGGGGCTGAGAGCTGAGTGACTCTCAGAGCAGCTCCTCTGGCTGGAGCTGGAGCACCTGGCTCCATGGCATAGGCATGGGGGCCACTTGGGTGCCATGTGGGGTTGAACTGGGTAGGATTGATTCAGGACACTTTGTGAAGGCAGAGGGGCAGGTGGCTAACATGGCATGGCAGTGAGGAGCTGTGGGGGCCAGGGACATCCCCATGCCGAGGGGAACTGCAGGGGGATGGGTCTAAAGAGGAAACAGGGGCTGTTAAAGTGGGGGTGCCAATCAGACACATTCTCCGCTCACTGAAAGCTAACAGGTTGACTGACGGCACCAACTGCAGGGCTGGCAGCCTCCAAGCCGCCTGTGAGGGGCAGCCCCTGCCGCTCCCATGTACCTGCATGCAGCCTCGGAACCCACGGCACACGGACACCTTGTCTTCAGAGGCGCCCCCGACCACCATGCTCCTTATCGTCAGCCCGGGAAGCATGCACCCGATATCTGCCCTGCTCTGTGTGGAGAGAGGGGGCAGAGCTCTGGGGGCTGCATCCACCATCCTAGAAACATCTTCCAGCTGGGAAACCACGTGGGAAGCCTGAAACAGTGGCTTCAACAAACTCCCCAGAGCCTGAGGACATCCGGGCCTCCGAAGAGAGAGCTGGGCCCAGCTGGACAGCGTGGCTGGCTGTGACGACCAGGGCGAGGGGACTAGGCCAGAGGATGACGTCCAGGTCCCAGCCCAGCTGAGGCGGCCGGTGGGGGAAAGTGCATAACTCTCCTGCCTCTGTGAAGGGCGCAACCCTAAACCAGCCATGCTGGAGCATCAGGAAGACTGCGGGGGCGGAAATCCGTTCACCCATGAATACTGTGGGAACCCAAGAGTGTCTCGGCTGAGCTCCTGTCCCAGAAAGGCAGGTGCCTGGAACTCACCCATTTATTCCCAGGTCTGTGTTGTAATGTGAGCCTTGGCTCCAAGAGCTCTTGGAAATCCCAGGGAGCCCCCTTCAGGTGTGTGAGCATCTCATAGACAACATCCTGGGTTACCCGCCTGCGAACTGTGGAAACCCAGTCTGGTTCCGTAAGTGTTCTGTACACTGCCTGGGACCACGCCACCTGCCTGCCTGGGACATGTGGGGCCCCCTGGTGTCTCCCAGCCCTGTCCAGGACCTGGGCCTTATTGCTCTCCCAGCTTTGCTCCCCATCCATACTCTTGAGGGCACGGACCCTGGCATTTCTTTTTTTTTTTGAGATGGAATCTCGCTGTCGCCCAGGCTGGAGTGCAGTGGTGCAATCTCAGCTCACTGCAACCTCCGCCTTCCAGTTCAAGTGATTCTCCTGCCTCAGCCTCCTGAGTAGCTGGGATTATTGGCACGCACCACCACACCCGGCTAGTTTTTGAATTTTTAATAGAAATGGGGTTTCATGTTAGGCTGATCTCGAACTCCTGACCTCATGATCCACCCACCTAGGTCTCCTGGGCCCTGGCATGTTCACCTCAGTACCCTAAAGACACAGTGCTGAGGCTGCAGGCATTGCTCAAGATGGCAAGGCTGAAAGCAACCACGGCTGAGGGCGCCGACAGCACTGTGATGAGAAAGGCCGCTGGAGGAAGCTGCCCGTAGGAGGGCCGCATCTGGGTGGAGGTGAAGATGCCAGTGGCCTCAGCAGAGGGCAGAACAGAAGCCCACTGAGGGTCCCAGAAAGTGCCTCCCCACATCCACAAGATCTCTGGCGGGTCCTGGCACATTAAGGGGTCATTCTGTTTTTCCATGGGCCAGAGGAAGGGTCTGTCCCCAAAGGAGGGCAGGTGCCAGCTCACCTGGTCCATCCCATAGTCCAAGGTCATGGTCACCAGGTGCTTCATTTCACTGTCCTCATTCACGTTCTTCAGCTCAATCAGCAGGTGGTGCCATTCCCCTTAGGCCACCCGTAACCCGGACAGCACCATGGAATCCATGCCGGAGGGCCCGTGGGACACCTCGAACTGGAGGTGGCTGCTGAGGATCTGGAGCAGGAAGAGCCGCACCAAGCGATTGGTACAACAGCAATGGAAGAGATGACGGGGTGCAGTTGCTTAAATGAGGACGCTGTGAAGGTCGCCTTGTGATGCTCACATCAAAGACGAGCGCAGTGGCTCATCCCAGTGATCCCAGCACTTGGGGAGGCCGAGGCGGGTGGATCACGAGGTCAAGAGATCGAGACCATCCTGGTCAACATGGTGAAACCCCATCTCTACTAAA